TTGTGTTAGAGTGCGGCACTGATCAGTACCACATCGACATGCCAAAACCATGCGGCATTGCCTCGGCACTTCTCTTATGAGAAGGAAAAAATGAAGTCAGAAAGACATTCGAAATATTAGAAGTAGATCGTAGCGTTAATATAGATAGAAATTGACAAAACAAAATGGTGATTGAAAATAAAACTTCGGCACTGGTGCGCATCGGTGCGAGATTTTTACATTCTTTCTGGCACCGATGCGCATCGGTGCCCAGAAAAAATAATTATTCGGCACCGGTGCGCACCCGTGCACAACCAGTGCCAATAAAATATTTTTTTGTAGGGAATCGATTACAAATAAAATCGGCATTAGCGCCACATGCCATCATTCCAAAATTAACGTCTTTGGGGATTAACCAAGATTTTGTGATAACCAGTTAGCTATTTCTCGTTTGTTGTTTTACTGTGCTCTTAGAAATAAAGTCAAAAATTTTTTTGATTTAGATTTTTGTTTAAAATTAAAGTTGTCTGTTTTTCTGATAAATGCACTAATATTGCAATCCGTTGACGGAGACGATGGCCCCTGGAAAAATCTTTGAATAATTATATTTCGCAGCAGTGTATTTTCGTAAAATTCGGAATAAAAAGGTGCAGTTCTTGGCTGGTACGCTCCTACATGTTATGTATCATCTAAAAAGTTTCTTGATCCACCCATGTTATAAGTGTTAATAGAACGCATATTACTCTTTAAATTTGACTTATTTTTGAAACTTGTTTTCAATAGAACACCTCCATTGATCTCGTTCTCCAAATCAATTCTTTGCACCTGACATTTCTTTTGCTCTCGTTTTTTGTCTCGTTTGATTCTATATATTAGCTCTGTTTATCTACTATATCTTCCAACTCTAACATTAAATAGTGGATTAGCCCGATTTACTGTAAAAATAAAGAAGTTTAGATTAAAACTCTTCTTATTTAGTATATAATTTGTTCTAGTTTTCCTTTATTTGCTGTAATTATAATAGGATCTTTTAGCGTGTCGATATTTAGTATGTGCTAGTCGCTTTTTTCCCATTTCATCACATGATCCCTGTAAAATGTTTCATCGCATATGTTTTTCCATCTAAGCTCATTTTTCTGTAAAAAATAAGTTGAGTTTGTACTGTTTTTTCTGATTTATAATACAAGGATATCATATTTTGACTGCGATATTCCTCAGTGGCGGAAAATTTGTATGGGATCTGATGCATTGGACAACAATGAAAAATGTCATTCTTTCATTCTGTGGAAAAGCTAGGATGATGTGACAAATATGAATAAATTGTATTTTATACTTTAGATGAATCGATTATGAATATTATATGACTAAGATGAATTGGAGAGAAAAATACGTTGATTCTCAAATATTGGCAAAGATCAATGATAACGCTTCATTTGATCGAGAAGTTAGTATTTTTGGACGTTTTGGATTTTGTAATCTTTGATAGAGTCTCGTCCCAAAGAAAGAAAATTTATTCGTTACTTCTTTTCTTTTAAGCGTATTCGTCCCATTGTTGGTATGATAAAAAATGATCTTATTGAACAAGAACTAAAAAAGTATTCAAACCGAACACTTTTATCCCGCTGTTGTCAAACTTGTACACCGAAAAGTTTTGTAAGTAAATGTTATAATGTTTTCTACGTTCTTATGATTATTATCTTTAAGTTTATTTTTAGACTAATTACAAATGGATTGATTCATTTATTTGCGATGACAAAGATCTATTTCAATTTTACGTGGCTGGGTATGTTCAGAGCTTTGTTAAAAAATATATAGATTTCAACGGTGTGAATGTCTTCTTCTAATAGGAAACTTGTGAGTCCATTGTTCTATTTTTGGCGAAAGGATTTATCAGCAGTATTAGATTATAAACAAGAAAATATGACACTTACTAGTCAGTAAGTAATGAAAATATCTCTCAGTTTAGTTCTTATAAACAACAAAGCGTCCTTTTTATGTTAAGGATTAGAGAATACAAGAAGAACACTCAGAGAAAAGGTTAGTACTTCTTGCTAGCTAATTCTATGGTTAGGGTAAACTTTCTTTTCAGATATATCAACGTTTACAGCAATCATAAATGCCGATGAACCGAGAGCATCATCTCATTGGAATATACAATCGGTATTTCCACAAGTTATTTTTCATTTATACGAAAAGTAAATATTGTTTGTTTTGAATGATAATTTGATTTAATATATGCTCCTAACCTGAAGAATAAATCTAAGTGCTTAGAAAAAATGAATAGTGTGTTTGCTTGTTTAGGTTATTATTGTATTATTCTTATCGAAAAGCGTATTCTCAGTTAAAATCTGTTAATATCAATACGCAAGAAATGAAATCGTTAAAGTTATTGTTTAAAGTATATAATAGTATTTACTTATTTTGAATTTTTGTGTTACTTCAAACATGATTGACGAATTTTATTTTTGTTTTTAATTCAAAATTCTCCTATTTTAGTCAAACATGTCGTGTATATTTTTATGTTTTACAAATGACATTAAAACAATGTTTTGGACATTTCGTCATATGATGACGGTTTTTAATTGGCCATTAAGAACAAAGTTTTTTTCGTCATCTCCTCTAAATACAAAAAGTTTATTTGAAAATTATTTGGCAAAAAAACTCGGATTTATTGATCTTAGTCAATATTTCCCTCATCGAAGCAATAGTGTAGAATCAAAAGCAATATTTCAAGTATGAATATTTTTTATAATTGATTTTATTCTTTTTCCCATGTTTCTTTCATGCATGAATCTTATACTCTCGATCGAGAGAGGAAGAAAAAAACAGTTGTGCATTTCTTTGAAACTTGTAGTTAAGTTGAGATAGATGCGCCAATTTTAATCGTATTTCTGTTCATCCACCTTAAACAGAAATAAGACAATTTTCTTTTCTTACCAGTAGGGTCTGATTTGTGAACATCTGCAATTTACATCATATATCTAGATGTATATCTAGATGTTCAGATATTCAGATATTCTGATATTCAAGTTAGATATTTAGATATTCAGATGTTATAGAAATGGGGAAAAGGGAAGGTGGGGGTGGCAAGGGAAGATGAGAGTGAGGCGCTTCCTGATATTCGCCACCGTGAAAGAAAAGAGGAAGATATCTGAATATCTGAACATCTAGATATTATGTAAATTGCAGATTTTCACAAATCAGACCGGTCTCATTCTTACTACTATTTCTTTCTTTGTTTTTCTTTTTCTCTTCCCAGTTTATTTACCGATGTTTGAAAACATCATATCAAAACGGACCAATAGTTTTTCTTTTCAATAATGTACCAGTCAAAGACGATTCAATAATTCCATTTCAAAACGAGCTTATGTCATTTCTTATTGATCTAGTTCGATTCGGTAAAAACAAACTATAAAGCACGATATATCTGAATCATTTTCTCCGGCCTGTAAAAATGTCAAACATTACGGTTTTTTTTTAATCGTCTTTTTTTTTGCATTTCGTAGATGTGGCTTTTCCAGATATATTGCTCACGCCAACTTGTTTAACGAATGTTACAAATCAGACAACAGATAAATTCAACAATCATCGTATTGCATTTAGTCAACCATTCTCATTAAAAGTAAGTTTAGCCATATGACAAATTATGAAATTCATCTCAATTTATGTTGGTTAACACAGGAATATTATGATACCTCTTCAATCAAATCAAATAGTTTGAAAGACGTTTTATTTTATGATTTATTACTGCAGTCATCGACAACTACAAATGATCGTTTTCGTCTTATTTCCAATATTTTACATCATACATTTGAACATATACTTTTTGGTAACTATATATTTTCGCTTTTGTAGAAATCGGCTATGCACACTGTCGAATTTTGAAAAAAGAAACGATAAAACTGGTGATGACTTTTTAGATATCAATCAGTTGTTAAAATCGAGTACAATCAATTTGGCACATCTTGTATTTTCGACAATACTATGTCAGAATTCTTTTTCTATGGTAACTAGAATTTATCTTAAAATAAATGATTTTTTTACAAAATTTTTGATAAACTCCATGAATAGACCTGATATGACTGTTATCAATGTGAGAAAAACGCTAATTTGTATTACAACTTGTTTTTAAGATAAGTTTAACTATACATATTGGGACTGTACACAAATGATGTTGACTGCTTCTTTGAGTTTTATGACGTTTTCCTCGTGTCAACTTTCACAGCTTTTTTCCAAAAGATAAAAGTATCTCTTTCATTAAAAAATAATAAAATAAAACTTGTTTTCTAATCATAGAATGTTTGTCATCTTTCTTCAACATACCATAAACGTTCGATGTCGTCGAAAACTTTATAGTCAGAGAAATTTTAAATGTTTTTAGTAACAGAGACTTGACCTTATCTGTTGCGGACGGCTCCTCTCTCTATATCAAACTTTCGTCAGTTTTTTCAAATTCTCTTCTCACCTAACTAGTTAACATGATTTGTGTACAGTTTTATTCGCATATAGAAATCAGAGAGACGAAACACCTATTGGTCTACAATATTTGTCAAATTATTGTTCAAAGATCATTTATTTTCAAATAACAATAAGAATCTCTTGATTGTGTGTTCTCTCTATAGAATGTCACGAGTGAGAAAGTGTTTGACGATCTCCGTGAGACAATAGAATCATGCCCATTTGTCGTAGCAGATGTTGATATGGATTGGAATTCTATTACAATTGTAGATATTGCACAACTTCTAACCAATTTCAATATCAACGAGTATGTATCATGTATCATTTGGTTTTAGTTTAATTATTAACTTTTTTTACGTTTTAGTTCGCAGATGTTGGTATACACTGAACAAATGCGACAGCAATTTTTCCTCGAAATTTTAGCAGGTAAACTAGAAGAAAAAGGTCGAAGTCATAAAATTCATTGTTTACGTTTTTTTTAGCTTTAACGATTTGTTTAAGTGTATATAATAAAAAAAATATACCAAGATATGATGATAGCAATGATATCAAAACTGAAAGTGAATTTTATGTTGAAGAACAAGAAATGTTCAAAAAAATGGAATTTCTCATTGTTACATTTCGTAGACAATATTTGATAACACGTGTATGTGGTAGAGGAAATTCTTTAATGATTCCTATATTTATTCATTGTATTCTTGGTATAGCCTTGTCAAACTATACATGATATTGTTCAGCAGGGAATTAATCAATGTTTAAATCGAAATTATCTTGTTATTGTAAGTTTCATCAGCACCTACACATACATAAAATACCATACAAAAATCTTTGCACAAAAAATCAAGCGATATTTATCTGAGTTTTCACAACACTAAAGACTTATACATTTTTTTCGTCTGGAAGAGCAAAATCTCAGCTACAGAAAAACATATGAATTTAAATTTCTAAGAAGGATATTTTCGACAAAAAAATTCAAAAAACCAAGAATATCTCTCAACAACTGTTTTGCTAAGTGAAAAAAACTTAATTTTTTTGTAACACGTTTAAAGTACAACGTGTTTCAAAAACCAAATAGGGGAAAATGTAGCGCTTAAAATACTGCATTTTAATTATTTTAATTTTAAATTAGCAGCATTTATTTTGATGTGACAAACAATTGTTTACAAAAACCTGTTTCTCATCGAAATTCATAGACGAAGACAATATAATTTAGTTCAATGAAAAGAGCAAAAAACAAAAAATGTCTTTAAATTTATACAAAATACTGTATCTTTCTCAGAGGTCAAAAGAATCCTGGAGAAATTGATAGATAGTTGAGGTGTTTAAAGAATTTGTAGAATAGTTTTTGTTTAGATGTTGTTAGTTTTATGAATTATTTTTGTTGATAGGTTCCTTCTTAGAAATTTCAATTCATATGTTTTTCTTTAGCTGAGATTTTGTTCTTTCAGACGAAAAAATATATAAGTCTCTAGTGTTGTGAAAACTCAAATAAATATCGCTTGATTTTTTGTGCAAAGATTTTTGAATTAGATGTTAATGCAGTCTGTATTATTTATTTATATTTAGAATTTCATTCCAGAAACTTCTTTGGCTGATTTTGATACTATTCATTCAGATACTGATGATGATGACGATTTAAATGATTATACTCTAAATGATAGCCATAATAAAAGTGAAACTTTACAAAAAAGGGTTTTTCGTGTATGTTCAAGAATGTATAAAAGTAGTCTTTTGTTACTCTCTTTCTTTTCACATTTCAGACACATTTTCAAGAATATCGTTGCCAATTAGTATTTTTTTCGAGGTTAATCGGTTCTTACATCGAATCGATTTGTCTTTTATTGAAACTGATCACTGATTCAAATGAGCATACAACTAATATTCGATTGAAAGGTAAAATATTAAATTCATGAAAAAGCAACGTGACAATTTACAGAATGAATGATATCGTTTGGGCGGAGCTTAAATAAATTGCAATTTTTTGTTTAGATGATGATGTTATAACGAAATACGTTGATAATTGTCAATATGACTATTGTTTTAGTGAGTGAAATAATTCAACCTTCTATCTTTTTCACCTTCTTTTCTTTTTCTGCATATATTTCAGAAGAGACAAATCTTCTTCTTCATTACAAAATGTCAGATATATTATTATGTATACAACAAGCTTATATTTATCATTCAGAATTAAATTCGAAGAGAGAATGCTCCGAATTACTGTCATGGTTATCTTCGGAACGAACAGATTTTTCTTATTCAGTTGATGAATTAAAGTCATTGAGAAATGAGTTCGAGATATACTTAAAAGCATTTATTTAGATAGTTTTAGTTCTTTCTATTGTTTTTATTGTAAGAACAGAACTGATGTTATATTAAAAATGATCTGTTGAAAACTACAAAACAATCAACTGTTTTCTTTTCTATTTCTTAAATGTTCTGAAAGAAAGCAACGTCATTATCTTTATTCACTTTCATCTTCACCCATATCTAAACTATTGTCTGATAGAATATCATTCAAACTAATATTACATAGTATACTATATAACATTCCCAAAATGATGTAAAAATTTGTAATGAATGCTGTTGCTAATGTATAAGGTAAGACTGATTGAAAAATCATCGAATAGGATTGAAACTTTGAACATATGCTCTGTAATACTTTTTTATGCATTGTTCGATTTTGACACTGACACAGAACAGTTTTTTTCTGTATTGATATTTCCATATTTGTCGTATGAGTATATTTTCGATGGCATCTATTCTCTTTCCGATGTTGATCAAAAATGGTGTCATTTTGAATGATTGAATAATATAAATGAATTGTAAACAAAAAATGGATTAAAAATGTAAAAAACAATGGCCAAAAGAAAACAAATGTATGTGAATTTTCATTACGAAAACCGGACAATGTAAGCCACGCTGCAAATAATGCAAAACAACAAATAATCAACGGAGATATATCAAGTGGAAAATTAGAAAAATACAGATATGATGTAAGAGATAGATGTAAAACCGATGTACTATAAAACAGAATGTGTGCAGTGGCAAATAATAACAGTAGATAAATCATTTTAGTGAAAATACTATTTTACATTTCTCAAAATATGCAATTCTTTCGTTGGACACATAATACAATTACAAAATAATGACAAATATTCTAACTTAAGTTCTATGTTTCTTGGTTGTTTCTATGTCTGTTGCTGAGATAACAGTTGTTCTCTCTCTCTCTCTTGTCATCATGAACTAATCTCACACAATTTATGCAAAAATTTAGACGATAAATTGTAAATTGTTCATATTTCAATTCAGAGTTTCTCTTATCTTTGATACTCATCTGTTTTATCTCATTAAGGACATGTAGAGTAAATACTACGTAAAGTCGAGGTGTTTAGGTTTAGCGAGATAAGAAATTGTGCTAGTTCAGGCTTCTTGATAGGAGGGGAGCTGGCCCCTTCCCAAAAAGTTTTTTGGACTTTCCGACAAAATCTTTGACGTTTTTTCACAAGCAACTCTCTGCTAAAAATTTAGAAAACTTTTTTCCGCCATCCACTTTTTGCGAAGAAAATTTTTTAGCTCCTCCCATTCCTGAGAACAATCGGAAACCCTGGTCATATTTTAATTGAATAATCAGACCAAATAGAACAATGATTACGTAGTAAAAATAAATGTTTTCGGTATTAATGAAGGATTGAAAGTAATATAGACAGAAAAAATTCTAGTTAAAAGATGGGAACAAAGTTTCTCTTTTCTAATAGTGAAATATGCCAAACAAACAAATTGTACTGTGTGTATCCATTACTCAAAATATGTTTAAAAAAACTGATTTACGTGTGTTGAAGAGAATGGACAATTTCCCTTTCGTTTTCGTACACAGTGAGTTCAAAAATCATGTGGCACACTGTAAAACATAAAGTGTGTCCGGAGCACGTAAATCTAAAAAGTTTTCTCGAGACCCTCGAAAATCCTCAGGCGTCCAAAAATATTCCTGCATTCAATAGAATGACTTACCCTACAAAAAAAATATTTTATCGGCACTGGTTGTGCACCGGTGCCGAATAATTTTTTTTTGGACACCGATACGTACTGCTACTCTCCCATAAGATTGTGTTGGAGATAGGTGGCAGTTTTCTGAGATAATCTGATGTCATCCTTTATTAGGTCTAAAGTGATTGGAATACTATCATTCATCAAAACTTTGTTTATGAATTTATTTTTAAAGGCAACGTGTAAGAGCTCATATTACTTGGGATGAAAATCTCTATCACAGTCGAATCTTCAACACATGAGCAGCATAGTTTGACACTTACGTTGTTCATCAAGCACTTCAATGGTATCGTGTTCAAACCTCGACAACAAAAATCGTGTAATCATCTTGGACAAGTTGCTTATGTCGACATTCTTCGGATCATCCGATCGACATACTCCTTTTCATTGTGACATGCAAAATGTTTCCTCCAACTTGCCAGAAAGCCGGTACGTGATCACTAAGCTCAAGAAATTGGATGAAAGAATTCTGAATCAAGTTAGCCATCTGTCTGTGCTTGATGCTTAATACGGAGATGAGTGACCAGGGTTGCCAGATGTCTCCCCATAAGCGAGACAGTCCCACATTTAACGATTTATCTCCCGCAAAAAACTGTCTCCCTTTTCAAGGATATTTTCCTTTGACCATCTTCAATGGACTTTTCACTTTTGTATTACGCTTCTGGTTCAACAGACCTTGAGCGTTTAGTAATTTTTCTTATGTGAGATTTTCAACGGAGAAACAGCTGATTTTTCGATTTTCGTCGATTTTCACCAACTTTCAATGCTTTTTCTGATTTTTAGCGATTTTCGATTTAAAAATTTCTCCGGTGGGAAATAATGTGTTTTGTCGAAAAAACCGTCTCCCTTACGTCCCCTCTTTTCCAAAATTTGTCTCCCTTTACTTTTTTTTAGTTGGCATCCCTGATTCAGGCCCGAAACAAACGATTTTCAATTCAATTCAACGAAGTCAATTTAAGAGGAATGAGCTTCCATTAAATATCGCTGCCTAAAGCTGTGTCCTAAATCATTTTCCTACGAGTTCAAACTCGTCAGCAGGTTCATCTCTTTACTCTTTCCCCCTTGGAAAATCGGTGAGGATTTTATAGTCGATTTTCTATAAAACTGAAAATAATTCAGGATTACAGTGTATACAATCAATCAGTTATTTTTGTTTTCAACTTTATGTAACATCCTATACGATGAGAAACTTGAAAATGACCGTATTAATAGGTCGAAATATCGAATTATAATTTTAATGTTTTAGTTTTAATTGTTTAATTTTTATTATTTTTAGTATTTGATTAAAACTTTTTATTAAAATTCTTAACATGATAGCCGCATTGGTTTTAAAATTTTTATTACAGTGTATAGTTTCAAGTTATTATAAACATGTGTACTGATTCTCACAGAAAAAAAAAGCAAAACAGATGCTGTAAACTCGAATTGTAAACGCCACCATTACTGAAAATTCAAAAACAAGGACAGTCACTATGAATATCCTGTTGTATCTGACTTTTGTATCGATAGTCACAGCTAGATCGAAGTTTTATGAAACTAAAGATCCCGCTGATTTAGATGAAAATGCAAAACAAATTCTATCCTTGTGGAAACAAGACCTGAGAAATTCGATGACGTAAGAACAAAATAATAAACGTTTATCTATTATTTTGTTATTAGTTAATATAATTTATTTGTTTTTTTATTCTTCAGTCATTGGTGTTGTGCAGTTATTCCACCATCGAAACCCATTTTTTCCTCTGATGGTCATCTGTTACAGTAAGTGTACAGTAGAAATGTATATATTTGTAGAAAATTTTTTATGTTTTATTCAGCTATCAAGAACAACCTTGCCCAGATACCCATGTTGTGTGTTGTAAAGGTTACATTAATATTCAAGGTCAGTGTTTTTCGTTTAATGAAGTCAGCGATATTTTGCCCGCTTGGGAGTCATTGTTTGCTGTTTTCGGAAATCAAATGACAATGGAACAAATATTGAATGCAGTTCATTCGATTGGCTAAAATATCAGTGATGTTAATGTTGATCTACATCACATATAAACAAATAATATTATATACAAAAATATGGATAAAATTTTCTTTATAATCATTTTTGTTTACACATAAGATCTGTTATAAAGAATAATAAATCATGTCAATTTTTGTGAAAAAATTTTCTGAATAAACATATAATGAAAAAATTTTGAGAATGTAAGATGTAGAAAAAGAAAGTAAGAAACTATACTCTTTACTATGCCAACATTATCTTATGGTATATCATCTTGTTTATGTTTAATATTAGAATGTTTCGCATCTTTTTTGCAAACGATTTTTCTTATCATGCGTCGAATCATGAGAGAATGGATCACGAGCCTCTAAAATTGAACAGAAAACATCGTATGAATAAAGCGTTCTCATAGAAGGTGGGTATAACAATATTACTAATCTGATTTGGTATCAACATAATCGAAAAAAAACTTCTCTTTCGTCTGTGAAACATTCAAAAGACCCTTATATTTTAAAATCTATGACACTGTTTACTAGTTTTTGGATTTCTCCCTTTGTGCATTCTTGTTAGTCATGTTTCTGCAAAATTATTGAATGATGGCTAAACAAAGTGTGATTATCCTATCGTATTATAAATTATAGTGTATATAATAATTAATCATACTTGACCTGATAATTGATAAGAAATTTTCTTGCACCATCACATGTTTAAACGTGCATTTTGATCTTGGACCAGTGGATACATTTTTATCACTATCAATATTTCCCATCGTCTCTGGAAGAAATTGACATCCTTGAGACTTTCAACATTTTTCGTGACAGTACTAGTCTATTTTGATTAAACTATATGCTATTTATTAAAAAGCTAAATTTTTTGGCACATAGCTGGCATCAATTTTTGACATTGGTTTTTCACCAAATAAACATGTGTTACGATTTTTTTCGTTGCAGTCCGAGGATCCGATCGCTCTTAATATAATCATCTTTCATCAGCTGTGTCTACTATCAGTTCTTCAGTTGTCAGTTCTACTGACACAATCAGGCAACTATTTCGCAGTTATTTAAAACCAGGCTCCATATGACGTAATATTACACACTCCATCTGTGCTTATCTAACAAATTCCCTGCCATAAGTGATCATCTCTTTGCTTTAAAAAAGGCTGATGTTTATTTTCTTATGTTTGATGGTAAATATTCGAAACCATGATTCGATTTATAAGCTTTGACGTAGGTTCGTACTGGTGTGAAGTAAATATCTTCGCACATTCGCCCCAATACAGGGTTATCCAAATTATCTAGTATTCTTGCATAGGATAAATAATATCGTTCATTAGCCAAGTCAGTTTTGTAACATTCTAATTTGTTTTTATCTGTTGACGGACTTTCTAATGTTAAAGATTTATTACTAAAATACTTCCCTTCGGCTGTTTCAGATTTTGAGATGTGCTTGAGTAATTTGTAATATCCCAAAAGTGAATTTTCTATCCGTCAAATTATCCATCAAAAAACGTTAAGACAAAATGTTCAAAATTTGAAAACGGTGTTTAACTTAGATAGACGTTTCACCAGTTGATAAGAGTCCACAAATAACGTGAATGACTCTGACCTTTTATCGATAGAAAACAGCGAGAAATGTGAAAAAGAACAAACCAATTGGCTCTTCGTGGAAAAAAGGTGTTTTCTATAATGACTTTAACGTTAAGATGCTTCTCCACATACCTTAACTTTTTCCTATTTTTTCCTCTTCCTCACGCTAGATTTAAGCTGGACATGTAATTTAGTTCTTGCTTAATGTAAGACGTTTTAAGTCATGTTTAAGTTGTCTAATGAAACAGATTAGGATTTAGCTTAGTTTAAGCCAGGAGCATCAGATGTTTTTCAAATAACCTGGGAACGAAAAGAGCTAAAAAAAAGTCGAATTTTCACTACAATCATTTTCTTCGAGACGAAACTTGATTGTATGATGTTCTCGAACAAAAGTCCAAGTATAAACATGATGTGATCAAGTATGAACAAGCATATAATCAAATTCTGCAAGACGCAAAATAAATTATACATAACTTTTCTTGAAATAAACGCTGGGAATTTTCTGAGAAATGTGCATGAGCATACGCAAAAGTGAATTTTCTATTCATCAAATTAATTTTATTTTCTGTGTACAAAACCAAGATTACCAATTCAAACTTTTGAAAATCAGAAGGAGAATCTTGGAAATCAGAAAACCAAAATGTCAACAATCAAAAGACCTATTTTCTCAGAATTATGATGATATTAATATGCCTATCTAAATTGCGCTTTTCTCCATCATGAGCGGATATGTCATTGTTACAGTTTAAAACATACGCGAACAAAGGAAAAAAAATAACTTATTGAATTTAATCGCTAATATGATCTAAAATACACAAACGTTTAATTTTAACAAAAAAACTACTTGTATTAGATTTAGAACTGCCAACTAGGCGTGAATAACACCTAGTCATATTTTGTGCATTGATCTATTTTGATCGATCAGGCCAAAAAAGTGTCCTGTTGGAAATTCTGATTGGATTAATCGATATCAGATCTAAAAATCAAGAAATAGATAATTTAAAAAAATCCTTACTTAAGGTATTCTGCTAAAAATGGACTTGAACTACAGTAAATAAAGTGCAACGGGAAGATGACGAAAGTCTTTGTTAGATCATAATCGGGAATATATTTACCGAGACCGCACAAACTTTTACCAGAACAGAAGCAAAAAAATTTTGGTTCTCTCCTATCTACTACTGGCATTATCAAAATCCTCGAAATGTAAATCCAATGGTAAGAAATCGAAATACTTGCAGAAAAAGTATAAAATCAATAAAAATCTTTCTTTATTTTATCTTTTCGTATCTGACATGTCATAATAAAAACTAAGCACGAAAGAATAGTGGAATATAGACGTTATTGGAAAACTTACATTAAGATGGTTTTACGACAGTTGTTATCATTTGAAGTTCAACATCCTTTTTTTTGTAATGCTTTCGTATGTATTTCGAGCATAGCTATAACTATCGTAAGCAATAATACACTGCGGAAAAAAAAGTGCCCTTTGGTGAGGTTTAGGGCACTTGAAAGTGCTCTAAGTGCGCCACAGTCAGGGTGAAAACAAAAAACAGGGCACTCTCATGTACCCTAAACCTCATCAAAGGGCACTTTTTTTTGCAGTGTACGATTTATAGAACATCATTGTCGACGTAATAACAACAGAACATTCGAGATACACCATATGTCTTGAATTATTAATAAAGAGGGAGACAAATATGAGACTTGAACTGATAAGTCAGATATAAGTGATCAATATCGGATCGCCGAATATGATAAAGAACACCACCGCACTGAAAATGGATAACAAGTTCAACAATACTCGTAAATCTCTTAATGCTTTCTCTCGTTTAACAAAATGTTGTTGATTATTAAGCATCTTAGTTATATCATCATAGCTAGATTATCTATTAACACAGTGGAAGCATATTTCTTTATCTTAGTGTAGCTTTTGAAAAACGTCAAAGACTTTATTGTCATTAAATTGGTTTGATGTTTGCATTTCATCCTCATAGACAATCGACCAGCTATAAAATGTATCAAGCGAGATAAAGATAGTGTATACAATCCCAATAAACATGATCATCAAATATACGCAGTATATGTTATTCATACGACGAAGGTAAGAAGCCGACCGTGCCTAAAATAAATGATAATTTCATACTAATGTATAGAAAATTTAGCGAACACAATCAGCATACGTTTAGTACTTTTTTATATTACTTATACTTGATCGCAGATATAAGTTCCTAAAGTCAAGCCCAGGGCGAGCAATCGTACATCAAGATTTCATATGGTCTTATCTGGTCTTATAAGATCTTATTCCCCAAGAAACCATAAGATTTCAAAGGATCTTGTAAGACCTTTTGACTTCTTATAAGATCTTGTAAGATTTTGTATGATATCTTTGTAAAAGAATCTTATAAGATTTTATAAGAAAAATGACCTTACAAGATCTTATAAGATCATAACATATGAAGCTGTAAGATCTCATAAGATCGTATATCACACTTCTTAGGCGAAAGCTTGAGACCGATATTTGAATAACATACCCCATATCTGAGACCTGAGAAAGACTTCTTAGCGCAGCAGGCAGCTGAAAACCAGCTATATCTGCGATGTAGAGACGACATGTTTATTACTACAATGTTGAGGCCAACAAAACTTGAGGAGAGATTAAAATTTTACAACGAAAAATACCCGCATAAAAAATTAACGAAATATATTTTTTAACTATAGCCGTAATGACTAAACACTTGAACATACGAGAATTAGCAAAATGGATGTCATCCATTTCTAGCAGTACGATTCACTTGTCCAAGTGAAATTCCACGATCCTTGCTGTCTGCTGAGGCTTTTTAATTAATAGATTTGGTACTATTATTTTTATTCAATATAGACCGGTTTCGATTTCTTCTTCAGTACATTAAAAAGTAACACATCTGCAAGTAAAACAGTAACCAATCTGCCACGTCTGAATGGCACGAATATAAGCAGCATATGAGCTGTTCTTTGAGAAAGATTTTAAGTACTCTTTCTACTTTAATAATGAGTAACTCTTTATTCAGACGTTTCGGCAGACATTAGCCTGCCTTCTTCGGTGCAGATTTTTAAAGGACAAAATGACAATAAACTGAAATAACTGTAAATTTTTCTTTTCTTTCTGTCTTTCTTGCTCATACTGATACGGAAACAAGATGGTAAAACTGGATAGGATAACTATTCGTCATCTTCTTAATCCGTACCACTATTAGCAAGAAAAGACAGAAAGAAAAGAAAAAGGACTATTTACAGTTATTTCAGTTTGGACCGTGGAATTTCACTTGGACAAGTGAATCGTACTGCTAGTAATGGATGACATCCATTTTGCTAATTCTCGAATGTTCAAGTGTTTAGCCATTACGGCTATAGTTAAAAAATATATTTCAAACGATTATTTAGCTTTTTGT